ATGCCGATGTTTGCGGTCCGATGCGCACTTTGTCTCTTAATGGCAGCAGGTACTTTATTGTCTTTGTTGATGATTATTACTTTATTGTCTTTGTTGATGATTATAGCCGAATGACTTGGGTTTTCTTTCTTAAAGAAAAATCAGAGACGCTGTCAACATTCAAGAAATTTAAAAGCTTGATCGAAAAACAAAGCGCAATGCAGTAAAGATCTTGCGAACAGATCATGGAGGTGAATTTGTCTCTGCAGAATTTGACAAATTCTGTGAAGATCTTGGAATTCAGAGGCAGCTTACAGCCAGTTATACTCCCCAACAGAATGGTGTGGCAGAGAGGAAAAACAGAAGTCTTGTGGAGATGCTTTGTGGATGATGGCCAAGAAGTAATGTTTGAAAGCCCAAAAGTCTGTCCAAAAAGCTTTTGGGCAGCATTCATACTGCTGCCTATATTTTGAACCGAAGTTCTACATCAGCCCTATCAAATCAAACACCTTTTGAGGCTTGGAATGGGTGGAAACCAAAGGTAAAACACTTTAAAATCTTTGGTTGTGTTGCTTATGTGTTGGTGGCATCTCAAAAGAGAGGAAAACTTGATGAAAACAGTGTGAAATGCATATTTGTGGGGTACAGTATGGAAACTAAAGGGTATCGCTTCTATGATCCTCTTTCAAAAAAATTGCTAATAAGTCGTGATGTTGTTTTTGATGAGAAAAGTGTATGGATTTGGAGTGAGGTGCAGCCAGGAGTAAATGTATTTCCAAATGATTCCAAATGATGAAGGATTTTGTCCCTGAACAAAGTTCAAAATGAAAGGCAACAATGGTGGTTCAGCATTCCTCTTTCTCAAATACTCCTAATTTCCAGTCCCTTCTAGTGTCAACATCACTCCTCGTCTTCACAAGTACCGCCCCTTTCCACGGAATGAGATCTCTACAAGAGATTTTATGGACAACTTGATAATGTTCATCTTGTGGTCCTATCAAGAACCAATGCAAGTTTGAAGAACAGGCAAAATATTGCAGAATGGCAAATGCAATGGCTGAGGAGATGAATGCATTAGAAAAAAAACAAAACATGGGAGTTGGTTTGAACTTGCCATTCTGGTAAAGAAGTAGTGGGGCTGAAAATGGGTTGTACAAAGCCTGAGAATACAGGCCAGATGGGGTCTAATTCAGAGATACAGAAGCTCGGTTAGTCGCACTTGATACATGCATGCGTGAAGGCATATTTGAGAAACGTTCTCTCTCAGTACAAAGGTTTGATCACGATTCGAACTACTCTTGCTATTGCTGCTATTTTAACTGGAAAGTTTTTTTCAGTTTGATGTAAAAAATCAGCCTTTTTGAATGGTATTTTGGAAGAAGGAAGTGTATGTGCAGCAACCTAAGGGCTATGAAATTTGGGTGTGAAGAAAAGAAAGTGTAATCAAATTAAAGAAAGCTCTCTACGGCCTCAAGCAAGGCCACCGACGGCCTGGTATGGGAGGATTGGACGCACATTTTTATAAAAATGGCTTCCAAAAGAGTGCAAGCGAGCCCACGTTGTATGTTAAGAGAAATAGCAGAACCATGAGGTAATTGATGCAATTTGCCTTAATGTGGATGACTTAATCTATACAGGAAAAGCATTGAAGTTTATTCAATGAATTTAAGAAGATTATGGTGACTGAATTTTGATATGACTGATTTGGGCTTGATTGAGTTATTTTTTGGTGATTGGAAAGGGAGCCATGTAGAGGCTTGAATTTTCATTTCAACACAAAAATAGGTGAATGATGATCTTCTAAATATCAATATGAAAAGATGCAATTCAGTCACAACTCCAATGATCACAAACCATAAATATTGCTTGGATTAATGGAGGAAGAGAAAGTAGAGTTCTCAGTTATATCGGAGTTGGTGGGAGTCTGCTTTATTTAACGGAATAGTCGCCGGACAATTTTATTTTGCAAGCAATCCAGTCTCCTTTTAAGGTTTATGCAGAGAGTCCAAGCAAGGTTCACTTTGGTGTTAAAGAGTTTTAAGATACTTGAAGGGAACCTCTTTTAAACAAGGTGGCGACTCACACACTCACGTGCATTTCTTCTCATTCATCATATGCATTCACATGCTTATGACATTTGGGGAAGGGGTTCACACTATAGGATATTTGTTCTTGCTTGGGTCTAGTGCCATATCCTGGAGCTCAAGAAAACAACCATCTATAGCTTTGTCGTCTTCGAAAGCCGAATATATGGCTATCACTGCAGCAGCTTGTCAAGCAGTTTGGCTCAGACGAATTTTGCAAGATATGAAGATTGAGCAGAAAGAAGCAACAATCATTTTTTGTGATAATCAGTCCACAATTGATGGCGAAAAATCCAGTTCATCACCAAAGAACAAGACACATTGATATTCGCCATCATTTTATAAGAGAGCAAGTTGCAGAAGGAAGTATTCAGCTAGAGTTTTGCAATACAAGAGAGCAAGTAGCTGATTTTTGTTTACAAAGGCTCTTACTTTTGAGAAGTTTACTTTTGAGAAGTTTGCATATCTCAGAGACAAGCTAGGAGTTATGGATTTTTGCATTAAGGAGGATTATGTTAGAGAGTAATGCAAAGTATCTCTGCACGTTATCTATTTTTAGTTAGTGATATTAATTTTCTGTTTTAATAAGTCAATATTTGTTATTTGAGTTATTTGATTCCCCTACCTTTTTCTTGTTGAGTGAGATAATTTGTGTCCACGTAATTGGGATTTGGTTATGCGTGATTGTATTTAAAGAGCATTTGATAATGGAAATGTATTCTCATTCTTCTCTCAACAATTCTTCTCTCACATTTTCTGTGCACACCAGCAGTTTGCTGAAATTCCTCTTAGTTCTTTTTATTTTTTTTCAGCAACTCTGTTCTACTCTGTTTTTCTAACAGTTTTAGCCTTTTATATACATACAAGCAAGGGATATAAATCCTGCAACAAAAACCATGTGATCCCAAAAAAATAACACAGTTAGAATGCATAGAAGGAAATTAATACCAGATGATCTGCTAGCTTTTAGTGATTGTAATCGATCTAGCATCTCAGCAAGGCCTCACAATTGGCAATAGAAAATCCTTAGGTATTAAATTATCAGCCTGCAAAAGATAAAAATGATAAATTAATATCTTTAGAATGGATTTTTCTGAGTTGAGTAGCCAAAATAAGAACCATGGTTATAAAATTTTAGTGTTAACTGCAACTCTGAGTCGCTTGTTAGATTTTAGAGTTTGTAAGTTAGAGTTTTAGTTAGATTAGTTTTTCAAAAATTTATCTATATTAAATAGTAATTATTAAATAAAAAATTACTTGAATTGGCCAATTAGCCAATCAAAATATATAAAAATAAGAAAAAAAATATCAAATTTTATAGAAAAAGAAAAATATAATATTGAACAAAGAGAACGCTTTAAATTTTCTCTTTGTTTCAGCTTTCACATAGATATAGAGATATGTTATTCGAAATTACAAGTTGATTATAATTATTTTTTAATTATTAGTTTATGGATATTAAATTAGTTTTTCTTAAACTAAATCTTCAAGGACATGCAACAAAATAAAAAAATATTAAGAATTAAATATGGTGATAAAATTAATTTAAATAGTAATTATTATTATTATCATATTTTGTTTGGAAAATAATTAGACTTAAAAAGAAAAAAATTTGCTTCATAGTCCTTAATAAAAATGGAAAAAAGAAAATAGGTATAGATTGTGAAATATGATAGAAATATGATACAAGGCAATTTTGAGATTTCAAAAAGTAGCCATGGATAGTATGGAAATCAAAATTTTTAACCTCTCCAACTCTCTAATTTAATGGGTTGATAATTTTTTTTTTATCAGCAAAATTAATTTGTTTTATTATATTAAAGCATACTAGGAAAAAATTTAACTTATCTAAATAATCTAACTCGAGCCAATAGACTCTCCAAAACACTCGAACCTAACTTGGACAATTTAATGAAAAAACCTGATAAAAAAAAACAGATCAAACCCAAAAAGAACATCCATGAGATCTCTTCTTTAGATAAGAAGAGAGAATTAATTTCAACCCCTTAAATAATCATTTAAAAATTGCTCAAAAATCTTACTGGAATAACACGTAAGGAAAGTACCATGACCAAGTTATATTCCATAAAATTGAATCCTTATAAATAATTGATATTTTTGTTTATGTTAAATTTTTAAATATATTTTCAATTATCCCCCACCAAAATTTTTATTTACATCAAACAAATTGTCACGAGAAATAATTAAGTGATCAGCTAATGCATGAAACAAACTTAGAAACCAAAAAATGGTTGGTGTCATTTCAGTTCTTTACTTTCAGTTTCAGTTTTTATATAATAAAAAGTTGTATACAAAGAAATAAGTTGAGAAAATAAGCAAAAATAACCAAATTACTAGGCATAATGCAATAATAATAAGCAAAAATAACCAAATTACTAGGCATAATGCAATAATGTATATAGGGAAGTGATGTTCGATTCGAACCATTTTTTTTTTCTCCAGCAAGAAAGAGTTCTAACCCAATTACTGAACCTAGAAACAGCTCCATCAATGAACCCAAAAAAATATTAAATAACCACTTACGAGTGACAAATATTAACTATCGAACTGATACGAACAACTAGACCAAACACACTTTCAAGTATAAAAACAGAGGTCAGAGGTCAACAACACCTTAAATCAAGCTAAATATTGTAGACCTAAACCAACTAACAAGAGAAACAATTAACCCAATTAAGCTCTATCAAAGAACCCAAGAAAATTATCAATAGAAAATAAAAGAAAAACATGATTTTGATTGCATTTCGAATTATCAATAAAAGATAAAAGAAAAAAAAAGTCCACTCCCTAATAGAAAAACTCACAAAAAAAATTCCAAAAAAAAAAAAATCAAATCAAAAAATAAAAATTATTCTTTGACAATCGAAACATAAAAATAAAAATAAGAAATATGAACCATGCCAAACAAAAGAGATCTTGTAGTACTCACTGATGAGGCCCTATCGATTAGTATTTCATATATATATAAGATAATTAACTTTTTGACAGCAACAAGCTTTTTTAGGGATGAAACATAACCTGAAAGATGAGAAAACAGGCATACACCTCCTTAACCTCGCCCTTGTGTGCCTTGTGCCTATAGTTTTATATATGTAGCTATCTTTCTTCTTTCTATTATGTCAGGAACTACCATACAATCAACAATTTGCATGACATCATTTATTTTAACACTATCAGCTTACATAATTAATGCAAAATAGCATATGAACCGTGATTTTACTTCATGTCAGCTAATTCTCTTTTCCTTCAGGCATTATCCCAAGCCGACAGCCTCACTTTGGTCGCTTTCGGTTTGGGAACATAATATCATCCATGCTTTCTTTTATACGATTACCCACTTTTTGTATGTTTCTCGCCACCCCTGCTGCAACCAGGCTTGCATTCCTTGTATATCTGCATTTTAGCATGAAACCCAGATATTTGATTTTATATATCCATCAACAACAGATATGCACATGTATAATTAAATAGTAATTGAAAGCATTTGCTTGCCTCCTCAGGAAATCATCTCCTGCAGAATCGGCTGGTTTACGTGTTTGAGCCTGAGGACGCTCTCGGCCATCTTACGTAAAACAATTGATAAAAATTAAACAATAAGCAGAAATATAAGAAAAATCCCATTTGAAGATCAGAGAACAATGAACACATTGTTACCATCTTTAGACGTAATTGCATAATGTCTTGCAATGATGAAAAATCAGGAAATGCAAGGAGGCAATGGTTTAACTTTAGGGCCAATAAACAAAATTACTTGAGAAAAAAGATAAGAGGCAATAAGCTGTAATATCTTTTGCTTTATGTTGTAAATATCCTAATGAAAGTAATTCGTTGTTCTTAATACAATGGACAAGTATCAACAAAATCCTCGCCTGAATAAAGGGTTTGAATTTGCTGTGAAAAGACTTGGATTACTAAATGAAAAATCCTGAATAGTAACACTTGTTACAATTTTTTAATTTTTATCAACCAATGCTAAACTCCTTTTTTTTTTTTTTGGGGAAAGGTGCCTATGCTTACTTTGTCATTACAATCATGGATTTACATGGTAGGTTGCAATGTGACATCATGCCAATAGATCATTTTGAATCTTTTATATTTAAACAGAAAAAATTATAACAAATAAAACATAAGTCCAAAAATTATAAATAAAATAGTAAACACTTTTCTTATAAAACATACTTTAATTTTTAGGAGAAACTTAGATTTTATGTACTATAAATTTTTGAAGTTTAAAGAAAAAAAAGGAGTGAAAGTGAGCTAGCAGCATGATGCCACATGGCAAAAGTACCCATAAGGAGTGGAGATGAGCTAGCGGCATGAGGCCACATGGCAAAAGTACCCATCCCTTTATGCTAAACAGCATTGTCAGCAATTTTGTATAGAAATCTAATAGAAGCCACAATCGTAATGACAAAATAAGTTCAATGTATTGATAAAATTAAAACAATTGGCTAAAACTGCAAAAAGTGTTAAAATTCAGAATTTTTTTGTCATCCCTAAGCAGAGAAATCAACGAATAGTTCCAACTTTTACAATTTTGCAATGAACTGCCTTTAATGTGTAACCTTCTAGTCCGGACATCGGAGTCATGCTTGGAGTTGAGACCTACTGGAATATGCTTAAACTAATTTCTGTGCTTGACTATATACTTACAGGGACATACTTTCTTAAAGAGGAGGGTGGAGGAGAGAGAGAGAGAATCTGCTGAGTACCTTTTCATCTGTTAAAGAGTATTTCTAAAGAAATTGATCGGATCCTTAGCTGGTTTGGACATTGTCATTGCATGGATAGTAGCAAAATGACAATAAGAGACCTCATTCTGAGATTTACAGGGGAGAACGCCCCACCGAATATCTTTCCATCACATTACAAAGACATTAAATGTACACATCATATATATGCCCAACATACATCTATCCACATTTATATTTATATACGTGAAACAGATTGTCCCAGCACATAAGCACAGAAGCTCACTGTTGCTATGTCTCCTGCTGTCATTCATCAAAAGCAGATGTGACAATCTATTGTATTGAGAAATGTGTCAGACAGGGATTTAACTGAAATCAACATGCAATAAGGCATAGCATAAACCATGGTGGTTTCCTTACCTTCTTTACCATGAACACGAGCGGGAGCAGATGCACTATCAGCAATATGAACTCTTTTTCTATGATCCAATAAAACTGCAGCCCTTTTGTCCGCAATAAACTAGGGATAAGAACAGAACAAAATTTATAACATCATGCCCAAACCAGATAGCCAACTTGACAAAGTGAAAGTAAATTTAAAAATGCAACAAGTTACACCAAAGATGCAACAAACTCTATTCAGTAGCATGATTTATTTTGGAAGACAATAATATAAATTTTGCAGCCTTATAGATGTAGTTAATTGTTTAAATAAACCCACCCAATCAATCACCATATCTCTCCAAGCAGAATAAAAAACTATAAGTGAAAATAGGTTTTAAGAAAAATAATGTGCTTAATGAACGACTCACAAACAGGTTAAAATACTCGATTCTAGTTGTTTGCAAGCTTAAATGAATGGATTGGAATAAAAAGGAAAAGCTTTATCTTGTTTAATAGATGAAGGAACACGAAGGTGCATCCAATTTGATTAAGTGGAGAGGCTAGTTTATGTTCGCTTAGCTACTCAATTGAAACTCAATGAATAATCACAGTCAGTTATCAAAATTGGTCTTTTAGCAATAAATGAAGTAGAAGGTTGTCTTTATGTCAAACCACGAAATTGAATTTCTTTTCACACTAACGCCATACAAATAAAAAAGGAACTACTAATACTAGATAATCATTATAAATACTAGTATATGAAGCAGGAAAAACAAACCAAAGGTAGCATAGATGTTATGTATTACACATTGACCATAAATCAAATAAAAAGACACCTTTGAGGCCATATGACTTTAGTGCACAGACTAACTAATACAATAGTTTACTAATATATATATATATATATATATAGAAAACAAAACCAAGGATAGCATAGACTGGTTATGTTATTAACACATTGACCATAATCAAATAAAAAGACGCCTTTGGGCATATGGACTTTTAGTTGCAACGAGGGGCTATCTAGTACAATAGTTTCACTAATATATATATATATATTAGTATTATAATAAGAGAGAAGGAGAAGAGAGAGGCGAGAGAGAGAAGAGAGAGAGAGAGAGAGAGAGAAGACAACGCTACTTTTGCATTAATTTAATGTAAAAAATTATTAAAAATATATAAATATTCTAAGGTTTAGTTTGTATTGGAGCATTAAGCCCAATATCTTTCAGATCAAACAAGCTTGACAATGAAGATTTAGTTTGGTTTAGCCTTAAGCTCGAGTAAAATTAAGTTATCAAACTTGGACATTTACTCAGCTCAGCTTGATTTACATTTCTAGGTGACAAATGGCTGCACTCTGTCCATTGAACCAAGCTATGGAAGTCAAAAGCAAATTCCTCAATGAAATTAAAATCATAGAAGCTCACCAGAAAACAAAAGTATATCTGTGCACGTGCATGCACACACCACACACACACACACACACACACGAGGAGAGAGAGAGAGAGAGAGAGGAGGACCTCAGGCCAGAGAGAGAGAGAGAGAGACCTCAAGGCCAACACAAAGTGGCAGTTGAGATGTTGTCACTTGCTTATCCATAGACTGATCTTTAATGAGATATACCGAGTTCCCAGCACAAGCATAATAAAAATCCTTAGGACCCAATCCCCTTGCAGAAGATACAATCTCATAATCTTTGATAATGTCACTGGGAACTGATCATCAAAATCATGTATTAGTACGTTCCAAAAGATATTTCTGTAGAACATTCACAAACAAGATGAAGGAATTTTACTACCAAAGCCTAACAAGATATCAAATGAGACCAACCTTCTCTCATACTGAGAAGGGAGAGGTAAGTGATTGAAAATCCTTGCACAACAAACAAGCATTGCACCATATTGCAAACAAGCATACAATACATTTGCAGTCATATGCACAATGGACCTAGTGTAGTTGATATTGAGTTAACATTTTTCTTGTAGGTAGTTAGCATATCATCAAAACGAATTACATTGGCATCTTCTCAAAGAGAAAGAGCTAATGCAACACCAACAATCTGAGGAAGATTTTGGGTATTACTGAAAACCAACATCATAGAAACTATGAAGACTAATTAATCAAATATATGCATGGGGATGGGGTTGAAATAGTGTGGCAAGGACATAGGATCAATGAGTCATCTATTGAACAAGAATCTTTCTTTCTATCTTGGTTCCTTGATTTACCAATTTTGATTAAAAGAAAGAAAAAGAATAAGAGCTGGTTAGAGAAGAGGTTTTGGCCCTCATTCTGTACTCATAAACTGACTGACCTTTTTTATTAACCTAATAATGCTGTAAGACTAAACCAACGACACAACGGGATCACCACAACTTAAAACAACCAAACACTAACAAAGAAACAAAGTAACTATTATTATCCACATATTGCACTCATGGACCCTGCAACTAAATTGAAAAAGGACCTTAAATTTTAGAGAACCATAAACATGGCCATCCACAGGACCCTTTTCCTCAAGGATAAAACCTTGGAAACAGAAAAGGAAATCAGTTATTTAATCCAATTAACTAAGGCTTAGTATTGGTTGCATCAGCGTGGTATTCGCCAACCTCCATTTCCATGTTCCATATGCCTTCAATTGGAAAAGAAGCTTTCTACAATGATTCCCCACAGGAGACACTCATTGCAATAGTAAAATGAGCCATTTTCTTCAAACCACAAGACTTTGCTGCAGACACGAGGACTTCCTTATTCTTAAGGCCACTAAGGGTAATCCTTGGCACTACCCATGACAAATTAAAGAATTCCTAATCCAAGATAAAAGCATTAAATTTTTAAAATAGGAAATCAATAGAACATTCTGCAAAAGTTGCAAACTTCACAGTAACCAAATTAAGGCACTGGATACTACTAGCAGGAGAATCGCATCAAACAGCCAATCAAGGCACTGGATACTACTAACTAGTAGTTAAAATTAGGTAACAAATTAAGCAAACCATAATTGAAGATTTCATTTACGCTTATCTTCTCAAGAACCAAATGGGAAATAAGAGAGAGAGAGAGAAAGACCTCTATGAACAGTATGAGGGATGCCGATGCATCGAGGATTGTTGCCGTTAGATTTAAGAGCAGAAGAGTAATAGAGAAATCCTTTACATACTGTTCCTTTGCAAGCTCCTCCACCTCTAGCTTCGGTTTGATTTTGACATTTTCCAGCTTTCTCGTCTCCTGCGCCTCTCCCTCTCCCTCTACGTTCCTCTTTACTCCTATCCATGAATCTACATTTTCATTCTCTGTTTCTCTATTATTTCAATTGGGAATGATGCTCCCACCAACGCTCTTCACAGTATCCAATTAGGTGGGGGTGGCCATATTGCATTTTTCGGGAATCGCGGGTTGGAACCAGTGGGAACCGGAACCGGTCTACAGTCCGGTTCTGGTTCCACCATTTCTGGAACATGAACCGACGGTTCTAAGAACCGGTCAGAATCGATGATTTTTTCAGCCGATTAGAAATGAATGTCCAAAGCAGATTTTGTATTTTATGTCAAACGGCTAGAATCGACGGTTCCACCGGTTTGAACCGTCGGTTCCAGCAGCTTTTTTTCAAATAGTTTTGTGAAATCTCCAAATTATTCATCCTAAGAACTATAAACAGCTACATAATGGCTGTTTTAAGGATATTTGTAGAAAAATAATTTTTTGATTTATTATAAATACTCCTTTCTATTTACAATTATCTCTATTCTCTCTACTCTATGTTATCTATATTATCCTCTATTCTACGATCTCTTCAATTTTCATTTATAAATTATTGTCCAAACATTGCAAAATAATTTCTTCAAAGTCCAATCTCCAATTATTTGTCCAAATTATTGTCAATTAATTTCTTCAAATTTCAATCTCTAATTATTCTCTCTTTTAATTTTTCAAGTTACATATTATTTTCCTATAATGGCAAGTAGAGGAAACTCAAGTTCCGCTAAGGGCAAGAGAAAGGTCGGAGAAATACAATATTCATCTATCCCTACAAACGATATCTTCAATTTCGCTCCCGACCAATATAATCTTGAGAGATATTCAAATGAAAAATTGGAAATTCCAACTCAAGAATCAAAATCTTGAGGGATAGACTTTTTGTTTAAAAAAATAAATTAAGTTCAAGCGTTTTTTTTTTTTTAATAAATTAAGTTCAAGCATGTTTTAATTTTTTAAGGGTATTTTTTTTTAGAAATTATTTTTTTAGAAATTATTTCACAAATTTTTAAATTTAAATTTTGAAGAAAAAATGTTCTCTACTTTTTTATTTTACAATTATGCGATTCGCCGGAAAATTGATCGGAGAACCAGCCGGAACCGTCGGTTTTGGAACCATTAAGAAACCGAAACCAGAACTATAACCGTTTAGTTCCAGACCGTAACCGAAACTGTCAATTTCCAATTCGATCCCGGTTCCAAATTTTTGGAACTGAAACCGGCGGTTCTGGAACCATAGCCACCCCTACAATTAGGTACAAAAATAAGATTATTTACAAAAGAGGTAATGTTAATTTTAATGCTCGAATTTGACATTTTTTTTCTATTTTTGTGTATGAATGGAAAATTGTGACAATTGAGTATCCAAACTTATAATTTTTTTTCATTTTGGTGTCCCCTGATAAGATGGACTACTGAAAAATCTAATGAAACTTAATGGGACCCACAAACACCTACGTATCCGCTTATGTAACGCCCTGATTTTTCTGTGTCTAAAACAATAGTTTTACCGGTCTGTGAATAGTACCACCGGTCTGTGAATAGTACCATCAGCCCGGGAATAAGTATTATTTTGGTCCGGAAAAATTAGTATTTATGTTAAAAATTAGTATTTATGTTTTATATTTTATCTTAACAATTTTGGAGCATGTATTATGGGTAGAAAGTAAGTAAGGAATATTTTTGGAGAATTTAGAGAATTTGTGAATAGTGAATTATGGTGTTATATGAAGTAAGGAAATTTGAGCAATTATTGTTTTATGGAGGAAATTCGAGGAATTATTTTTAGGGAATAAATTAGAGAGAGTTTGTGGAGATAAATAATATTTTGAAGGAATTTAATTGGAAAATATTTGAAGAAAAGACCAAAACACCCTCCCATTTGGAGAAAAGACCAAAATACCCCTTAGTTGCTTTATTAAAGGCAACCATCAATTATTGAGCAACAAAATTTTCCTTCTTCTTCTTCTTACACGTTTCCTCCTGACGCCAACTTTCCTCCTCTTCTTTCTCTTCTTTGTTTTTTTTTTCACTTCCTTACTTCACTAAATCCACCAAATTCACACATTAAACTTGTATTTAATTTAATTAATCTTGAGAATTAAAGCTTGAGCAAGTAAATTTTTGGTGAATCTTCAAGAAATTTGGAGATTCTCCTACTGAGCCAAATTGTTGGGACGAACACCCTCTACCATGGAGTTAGGCAAGTTGGGCCTTAGAAAAGTTCTCATTTAAGCTTGCCTTAAAGGCCTTATTTTAAGGTTAGTGTTCATCAAAAACACACTTACCTTACTCGGAATTTTGACTTTTGTGCCTTTATGCAATCCATGCTGTATATTTTGGGGTTTTGTATGAAAGTGATTGATTTGTTGATAATTTTTGGTTGCAATAATATGCTCTTTGGGGGTGAATGTTTGCATGAGTACTCTTATTATGTGCGTAGGACATTGCTTACCTTGTACCTTTGGTTGTTACATGTTCTTTTCATGGTTGAAGGAAAACTGAAGTTGGAAAAACGGGTATTGAGTGAGATTTAAGGACCATTTTTCGATCCTTTTAGTTTCCATTTGTGTCTTGCAGTCCCTTCATAAAAGTTTGTAGGCTCTCTTCTTAGCTTCTCCAACCCATCCTTTCTTTGTGTCCAAATTTGGAGATATTATAGCTCAAATCTTATGGCTGAAAACACCCAAAAACTGAACTGTTGTTATGACGGGTCACATTGCATCATTGAATGATTGCCCATTTTGACCACTATAATGGCAAGATTATGGTTTCTGAGCTTTCTTTCATTGAGAGTTGTGCCCTGGTCTTGAGACTTCTCTGGTTTGTGGATTCAATTAATTGAGTGTTTGGTTTTAAGAGAAGTAATTTCAATACAAACAATTGGACTTGGTTCTACTGAATTCAGGTCTGCGACTGTTGTCTGTGTTCTTATGCTTTGGTTGCTACCTTGCAAAGATTGCATCTGGGCTGTGATTCCCTTCATAACATTCTGTAGCATTTTGGTCTTAGCTTTCTAATGAATCTTATTTCGTCTCATTTGGCAGACCTATACTCAAGTTTGTCTTAAAAAAACCCTGCAAGGTTCAAGGTTATTTTAAGTGCTGAAAATTCTTATGTCTTAAATCAATAGGTTTATTTGGGATAAGGGATGTATGAAGCATTTTGTTGATGAAGTTTCTCTTTGATTATTGTATATTTTTTAGGATTTATTTAATCAAAACTAAGACAAGTTGGACTTAGTGTTATTATGAATATGTTTACAATGGATATAAAATGGGAAAACAATGTTGGAAATTTCGGGAAAGAGTGTGGATTGGCTTTAGACCTTAATGCATGGCATTGGAGGGTGTGAAATGTAATAACTTGTGCATAAGAGTTTATTGTTATTATGTTAGCATGCTTGATTGGAGAAGGAAATTCCTCCCCTTGGTTTTCATTAAGAGGTCAAACCACCTTAGGGTAATAATGCTTACTTAATTGTTTTCTATATGTGAAATATGTATGAATATTTTGATAACTTTCATATGTTTAGAGTTTTAAAAAAAATGGGTATTTAAGGTGTATGTGCTTTCATATGTTTAGAGTTTTAAAAATGGGTATTAAGGACTTTATATATATATATAATGAATGCATTTAATTGATGATCATTAAAATGCTATTGAGGGTTTCTATAGTTATGAAGGTATAGAAGTGTTGTTGTGTTGCGTTACATAAGCTATGAAATTTTTATGAGTTAAAGTTCGTAATAGTATAAGCTTACATTATGAATTTAAGAAGACTAAAGAATAAGACAAGTTTTATGAGAAGTGTTATGAATTAAGAATTAAAACAAGGATTTTGGGCTCTAATTACTTGGTGTGAATTTGATGCGTGATTTGAATTTATGTATGATGAGCATACTCGGCATCTAATGCCATTATGATAAGAAGCTATGATCATATGCTAGGCAAGTGGGTGTCTTATGTTAGGGCGGACGCGCTCTATATGTTATGAAAAGGTTGGCGACCTAAAGCCATTATGAATAAGTTATGAAAACCTATCTGCTTCTCTTTCTCCTAAGTGTATGCGAGCCCTTGTATGCGAGCCCTTGGAAAATATTTTTAAGGCACTTGAATGAATGACAGTATATTATTTCAACAAACCTTAGTTTGGAAATTTATGATTATGTTATCAAATGAATTTTCAAAGCATAATATTTCGGTACATAGTTTTAAAAATAAATAGTATATGTATTGATATAATAAATGTTTAAGTAAAGGATTTATGGTATAAAAAAATTAAATTATTTATGTTATTAATTATAAGGTTATTAAATTATTAAGTTATTAATTATAAGTTTATTTGATATTTCTTTTGCTATAAATGTAAATGTACGTTCTTTTGATGAAAATTTATATTTTAAGTGTGTTGCCAGTGCAACATTGGTAAGTTTGTCATTTATGAGCACCATTGAGTTTTATAATCAGTGCGTTCATTTTTATCACGCGCAGGTTGAAGTCCGTGGTTGCTACTTGAATATCAGAAGAGTAGCTTCAGACCAGAAGCGACTATTTTAGTAGTGGTAGAATTAGTTTGATGTACTTAAGAATCATAGCATGTATAATTATTACATTTTTGGAGATTATGTTATTTGAATTATAACTTAAGCATGTAATGATAAATTAGTTTGGTGTATATATTTAGAGATAAGCATGAGATTTTATTTAATGTTTGGATATAAAATATGTTTAAGATAGTTCGTATGATTAAGAACATAAGGACTTGATATAGACTTGAATTATATATATAAGTAATGAATGCATTTAATTGATGATCATTTAAAAGCCTATTGAGGGTTTCTATAGGTGTCAGTGAAGGTTAGAAGTGTTCGTTGTACTATGTTATGGGATTACTGGAGTTTTGCTGGGGTTAGAGGTTAAAATTGGAGTGTTTTGTATTCATGTTTGGCGAGCCTTCGCGGTTTTAAAAGACTCTTGCAGTTTTGCTGTAGGAATTTCACCTAAATTGTTTTCAATAAGTTTATATATAATATAAACTTTCAAAAACGAAATTGAAAAAAATTACTCGCAAACTTGTCGATACTTATCATTCTAATTCATAAATGTATTTAATGATTTATATGTTATGTTAGGACGGTGTCCCAGCACCGAGAATGTGGCATCCGTCGTCGGGGTCTTCTTGGGGCTGGGGCGGACGTGTTTACAGCTAATGTGAACTGACATTTTTATGATTTATATGTTATGTTAGGACGGTGTCTCCAGCACCGAATGTGGCATCCGTCGTCGGGTCTCTTGGGGCTGGGCGGCGGGTGTTACAGCTAATGTGAACTGACTAATTTTATACGTAGGACGCCAACGTGGCAAAAGGGATGCCTACATGTCCCATTTGCCCTTATTTATTATCGCCCCAAACACAATTTTTTTCCAAATTCTAACGTAAATCGGGACTGAATGAAAGAAAGAGCGGCGCCTTCCCCCTTTCACAAACATCACTCTCTTCTCAAATTCTTCTTAAATTTTTAGCGTAATTTAAGAAAAAAAATCAATCAAATTGCTGAGAAAGGGAAAATAATATCACGTCGTTAGATTTAACATTGAGATTGCGCGGGATTGGAATGCTTCTCTTCAGCATTTCCGACAATGGGAACAAAAGTATTTCCCTAAATCTTTAACTTACAGCTTCTGTGTGTGGTTTAAACTTATAATTGAACATACTCTCCTTGCATTATTTGCGTTATTTGAAAAGGAAAACATGCTTTTTATGTCAAAGGAATAGTCGATAACTTTGATTGAAATTTCTATAAATAAATGATGTATTGCTCTTTCTTTTCTTTTGTTTTGAATGTGTAGTGATTACAGTTACATGCTTGAGATAAATTATGGTGGGATTTTCCTTAATGATGTGGCTGAGAGTGGTAAGGTATATGTGGGTGGTGATATAATGGACATTGTGGTAGATATAGATAACTTTTCAATGGAAGGCTTTAGAGATTGCATAAAAGGTGTAATGGGGAATAGGATAGTAGATAAAATATTCTTTAAACAACCACAATTGAATTTTTAGAAATATTTTTCTTTTTATTTTTCCACAATACCTTAATATAATTCGTGTAAATAATTAATATATTAATTGAATTTACGAGATGATGAAGAAAAAAATATTAAAATAATCAAACTTAAAATTTTTAATATAATACTTATTTATCCTATTCTAAAAGTTTAAGAAATTATTAATATAAGAAAAAAATATAGTTAAATTAATTTAACTAATGAGATCCCACAATCTAACTAGAAAAAGTTTGAATCCTCTCTTGTATTTCTTTTTTTTATTTAAAAAAAAAAAAAGGAAAACATAAATTCATCCTTGAAATGTAAATTTTTCAAATTTTTTCCCAACTTTTAGAATATAATTTGCTAATATTCGATGAAACACCGAACACTACAAATAATCAAGACAAGCCTTATGAAAAAGCTAGATGAAATGAATGGATCGGTTGAGCTTGCATAGAATTAAGGTCAAAGATTCTAGCCTGACCTCCTTGCTGACTCGGCCGATCCTGATTGCCTCGGTACACTTGCTAGCCAAGGATTTTTCTCATAAGAGAAATCATATTTAAGGATTAACAATAGATTATACTTAAATAAACATATCAATTCTTTCAAATAGAAGAGTAAAATACTACTATATAAACAACAGCTCACTTCCTCTCTATCTATTCAATAAACAACATTTTAAACATTCAACTGTAACATCTGTCTTGGTTAATGAACAATGACAAAAAATAAAAAAAAAAAAAATTCTCCTTTTTACCACTTACCTCACGTTCCATTATTAAGAGGGAGTTGGGAGGATGGAGATAAAAGTGGCATTAGGAGAAAATTACATAATTTTAATGCAAATAGCAGATTAACCATGACTTTTCTTCATCTCAGCTAATTCTCTTTTCCTTCAGGCATTATCCCAAACTGACGACCTCACTTCGGTCGCCTTCGGTATGGGAATAAGATATCATCTATGCTTTCTTTCACATAATTCCCCACTTTTTGCATGTTTCTCGCCACCCCTGATGCAACCAAGCTTGCATTCCTTGTATACCTGCAGCTTAGCATAACCCAAATATTTAATGTTATGTTCATCAACAAATATGTGCACATTGAATAATGATTTAAAGCATTTGCTTGCCTGCTCAGAAAATCATCTCCTGCAGAATGCCCTGGTTTATGTGTTCGAGGCTGAGGAAATTCTCTGCCATCTTAAAGAAAACAATGGATAAAAATTAAACGACATACAGAAATATAAGAGACATACCATTTGAAGACCAGAGAAGAATAAACACAATGTTAATGTCTATATACATAATTATATAACGTCTTAAAATGATGGAAAATCAAGCAAGGCAAGGGGGCAATGGTTTAACTTTAGGGCCCACAAACAAGATCATTTTAAGGCGGGGGAAAGAAAGATAGTAATAATAAGTTGTACCTTTTGCAGGAATACCTTATCCAATAGGTTGTAAATATTCTAATAAAAGTAATACGCCATGCCTAAGAAAATAGACATGCCTCAACAAAATCCTCGCCTCAAAAGGAAAAAAGGTTTGTATTGGCTATAAAAGTCACTGTAATAGGTAAAAATTATTTGGATTACTAAAATAACAAAGTAATGAGCAACCTATATGAGATAATATCTTGTCCTCAATCTTTTCCCCATATAGTACAATTTTAAAAGAGGCATTTACAGCAGCAAGTTCTGTTAAATTGCTAATAGTTAGAAGCAAAGCTACTCCACATCAATGATACATTAACCAAATCGAGAAGTTCAATTATGCTTTATTGACTAACAAAATATTTCTCAAATAGCAAAAATATTTCCATTTTGAATTAATCTCCTTTCAATCAATATAAAGGTTTATTCACTTGCTCCTGGAAGTAGCTATCGATAGCAATCACCTGATTCACTCTAAAACCTTTAACTTTCTAGTTCAGCAGATGAAAAGCCAGCCAAATGTTTCAAGTTTATTTTGAATGCTGGTTTATTTAGCAAATTATCAGCCAAATGGAATTAATTTTTATTCGACTTTCTTAACCATAGTCCAAAACAAGTTCAAGGCCATTATCCAGTTGCAACCTTGCTGAAGCAAGGCCCTAAGAAGAGACCCACGTAGTCCCAACTTTTGCAATGTTCTATTAACTGCCTTGTTTTTACAGCCCTCGAGTCCAGAAATTGGAGTCATGCTGGGATTTTGAGGCTTGCTGGAATATGCTTAAAAACTAATTTATCTGCTTCACTATCTAGTTCTAGGACACTATTTTTTTTTTTTTAAAGCATACACCTGATTCACTCTACACAACTTAAACTGCTTCACTAGTTAATAGACACGATGAAAACCAGCAATGTTTCACATTAATTTTGAAAATGCTGTTATTTAGCAAATCTAAATAACCAATGGTAATTAGATCTGAGTTATTTACAGAGTACTATTCATTAATACCGAATTGTAGATCAAAACGTATCAAGAGTACCCATAAATCCAGCTTGCAACTAATGCCTGCGAGAGCAAGGACGATAAAAAGATAGAGACGCCACGTAGTCCCAAACTTTTGTGATAAAATTATAAACTGCCTTGTTTTGAGCAGCCCTCGGTCCAAGAAATTGGAGTCAACTGGATTTTGAAGGCTTGCTGGAATAATGCTTAAAAACTAATTTAATCTGCTTCACTTCTAGTTCTAGAGACACGTTAGTAATATTTTTTTTGAAAGAAGGAGGGGGGGGGGGGGAGGGGGTGGCGAAAGAATCTGCCATACTGAATTGAGAGACTATGTTCATCTGGTTCAAAAGTATTTCTTGAAAATGATAAATTGGAGTGGAATCCTTAGATAAAGATTTCCAATGATGGCGGGAATATTATCCTTGCATGATTATTACGCACAACTGACAGGAAAGGCCCTCATCTCGAGGGGATTTGGAGGGGGGAGCCCTCTAATTCTCCATGTCTCTTTCATTGCGATTACACAAGACATTAGAAATGTAGCAAACTTATGCATATGAGGAGGGGGGGAGAAAGAATCTGCCAACTAATTGAGATATTTCATCTGGTTCAAAGTATTTCTAATGAAAGTGATTGGATCCTTGGATAAGATTCCAATGATGGTCGGAATATTATCCTTGCATGAATAATACGCAATGACAAGAAAGGCCCTCATCTCGAGATTGGAGGGGGGAGCCCCTCTAATTCTCATTCTCTTTCCATTGCATTACAAAGACATTAATGTACACACATTATGCATATGCACAAAATATATCAATCAACATTTATATTCATAATTATATTTATGTGGAACAGATTGTCCCTGCACATAGAACTACATGTTACAAAAGCACAGAAGCTCACACTGTCATTCAGCAAAAGCAGATGTGATAATCTACTGTACTGAGAAATATGTCTGACATGGATTTCACTGAAGTCAACATGCAATAAGATATAGCATAAACCATGGTGATTTCTTACCTTCTTTACTATGAACATGAGCCGGAGCAGATGCACTATCAGCATTAGCAACTCCTTCCACTATCAACTGCAAAAACTCAAAACTGTTCAGATTGCAACCTTTTTGTTCTTAAGAAACTAGGACAAAAACAGAACAAAAAGTATTACATCATGCCCAGAGCAGATAGCCAATTTGACACAGCCAGATTGAATTTAAAATGCATCATCAAAATGATTCACAAACTCTATTCAGTAGCATGACCCATTTTGGAACAACACAATCATATAAACATGCAGCCTCATAGATGCAGTTAATTGTTTAAACAGCCAAACCTAATCAATCCCCACCTGTCTCCAACCACAGGCCAATTACAGATAAAACAGGAATAACAAAATGATAAAAAAAAACATAAAAGCCTATAAATGAAAATGTGGTATAAGAAAAATATTTTGCTCATTGAACAACTCACAAACAGACTAAAAAAATTCGATTCTATTTGTTTGCAAACACAGATAAACAAGTTTGAACAAAAACTTGAGTTTGTTTAACAACACACAACAGGAGCATCCGACTTGAATACATTCATGGAAAGGCTAGTTTATGTTTGTTAGATACTCAACTCTAACTCAATGAATAATCACTATCTCATCAAAATTGGTCTTTTTTAGCAATAAGTGAAATAGAAGGTCGTCTTTACATCATACTATGTCATGAAACTTTTCACAATAATGTCATGAATCAAAAGGAACTATTATGGTAGATACTTATTATAAATACAAGTATATGAAGCAGGAAAAAAAAAAAGGTTGCATAGATGTGACACTCTGTACTACATATTGACCATAAATAAAATAAAAAGAGCACTGTTAGCAGTGTAAGTTGGATTGGAATATTGCAATCCAAATCGAAATTTCAAACCAAATGTTAATTTGGAATATGGAATTTAAAATGGAATGCAGTTTTTAAAATATTGATATATGGAATATGGAATGGAAACTAAAAATAAAATTCTATATTCGAATCCATATACGAATTTTTATTTTATTATTCTTTAATTTATAATTATATATTTTAAAATAAATATTAAATTAAAGATTAGAATAAAATATCTTAATTCTTCATATTTTTAAGAAAACTTCTATTTAATTCTAAAACTACGTAGATTAATAGAATATTTTAACCCTAACCCTAATTAGTAATTAATATATACTATGTGCTTGAATACTCATATATACTTTCTTGGGTTGAAAATTATGATTCTAAGTTATAATGTCTTACTTTTTATTTCTAAGTTATAATGTCTTACTTTTTATTAGATTATATTGGTTTGAAATATTTTAATATACTTAGACTCATAATGTATATATTTTTTTTTTGTATGTGGATTTAGTACTTTTTAAAGATCTTGGTGACTACATATATTGATACATGCTAATATGAATGGTATTATCTTTTGTTGATTTTATAATATTACTAGTCTTTTATATGACGTGCATTGGACATTGACTATACTCGTTATATACTCATTTTTTTATCTATATAATATTAAAGCATAAATTTTGCTTACATAAAATAAATACAAATGGTTAATTTGTATTACAGTTATATACTCATTTTTTTATCTATATAATATTAAAGCATAAATTTTGCTTACATAAAATAAATACAAATGGTTAATTTGTATTACATTTTGCCGTACAAACTATCTACAATGCTATTTCTTATATACTTAATTCTATTTTTATGTAATGAAATGGTATCAGAATAATGTTCAATGCAATCCTTAGACTTAATTCTTTAGTCCCTAATTCCAAAAAATATTTGGAATTGAATGGAATGCGATTTCAAATTCCAAAATATTTTGAAACGGAATTGGGATGAGGGTCATTCCATTCCATACCGTTCAAATTACACCCTTAAGCACTGCCTCTTCTTTGAAACAAGGAACCAATCCTTCATTATTCCAGACTGATGCCATATGACTTTGGGCAAACTCACTCATACAATTGTCTACTAGAGATATATATTAAAAGAAAAGGCCACTTTTGCATTCATTTAATGTCCAAAACTATAAACAAAATTATCTAAAAATGGTTTTTCTTTCCCTAGGGTTTAGGTTATTTTACAGCACTAAGCCCGACCTTTTAGATCAAAGAAGCTTAACAATAAAGTTTTAGTTTAGTTTAAACTTAAGCTCAAGTAATATTACATGGACAAAACTTTACTCAGCTCAGCTTGATTTACACTCCTAGGTGACAAGTGGCTGCATTCTGTCCATTGAACCAAGCAATGGAAGTCAAAAGCAAAATCCATGACATAATTAAAATGATAGAAGCTCAAAAGAAAACAAAAGTGCATCTGCATGCACACACACAAACACAGAGAAAGAGAGACCTCAAGGCCCGAACATGCTGGCTTTGTCAGTAGCTTATCTGTAGAGTGGTCATTAGTGACATAGATAGAGTACCCAGCACAACCATAATACATATCCGTAAGAATCCCGCCCTTTTTAGAAGCTTCAGCCTTAGATACTCCAACAAGGTTACTGGGAACTGATCATCAAAACAAGTATTAGGATGGACACAAAGGATAATTCTAATGTTCACAAACAAGATGAAAGAATTTGATTACCAAAGCTAACAAGGTATCAAATGAGAGCACCTTTTCTTACACTCAAAAGGCAAAAGAAGCGATTGAAAAGCATTGCACCATATTGCCACAAGCATACAATACATTTTCAATCATATGTACGACGGACCTAGTGCGACTGATATTGAATTAACATTTTTTGTACAGTTAGTTAGCATGTCATCAAAATCAATTCCACTGGCATCTTCTTGAACAGAAAGTGCTTATGTGGCACCGATGATACAATGAAGATATTTTGGTAGACTTCAGACCAACATCCGAACAACTATGAAGACTAATTAATAAGATTTAAGCATGGAGCGGGAATAGTGTGGTAAGATCACAAGATCAATGAGGGATCTAATGAGACAAGAATCCTTTTATCTATCGTAGGTCCTTGATTTACCTATTTTGATCCAAAGAAAGAAACAGAATAAGACCTGGTTTAAAGAAGAGCTTTTGGCCCTCATTCTGCCAAAAACTGAATATCCTTTTTATTTACAGTAACCTAATACAATAACAGAAATGCCACAAAAACTAAACCAAATACATTACTCAAACTTGAAACAGCCACTAACAAACTAACTATTATACACACAACACACTCATGGACCCTACAACTAAATAAAAAACGACCTTAAGTTACAAGCACTTCATGTGCTTGTATGGCCATGCACAGGAAACTTGTTCAAGGATAAAATCTTGGAAACAGAAACGGAAACCCATTATTTGATCAAATTAACTAAGGTTTGGTATTGGTTGCATCAGCATGGCATTCTTCAAACTATTTCCTTGTTCCATATACCTTCAATCACAAAAAGCTTTCAACAAGGTTTCCACAGGAGAGACACTCATTGCAATAGGAACATGAGCTATTTCCTGATCATTATTGTAATTCTACAAGGAATAACCTCGAATAACAGGACCTTGGACAACTTCCATATTCTTAAGGCCACGAATGGTAGCCCTTTGCACTACCTGTTTCTTGCAGGATCACCAAAGAAGTCTTTTTAATGACTGGCACCAACGATTCATCAAACATCCATAAGTTTAGATCCAATCCAAATGAAAATTCCTATCACACTTGAAACAACAGGTGCAATCCCACTAAAGAGTATCAGAATCAACCTTGTTCCTCTATTCTAGTCCTTTCAAAATTTTTCTGTCCAACAAATCCAACTCGTTATGTCCTCATCGTCATTATAAGTTGGGAAGATGGTTCAAATCATAGAAGTCAGTCATCTTGGGTTATAGCAGAAGAAAATGCAACTTTGGTGCTTGACTAGAGTACAAAGCCGAGGCTGTGAAAATGTCCTGCAATTGCATAGGTATACATTTTCTTTGAATCGCATAGATGAATTGAGAAAAGTCACATCATTCTCTAAGGCGCTCCAACACATTATCATACTTCATACATGTCTGCTTCCTCATGCCCATAACTATCTCCGTGAAAATCAAGTTCCCATTTGCATACAAGGCACTAGAAGAAGAAAATTCATGACCACCATGTTTCAGAACAACAAATAATTCCTATAAGCGACTCACCGCTCCTATGAATTGCAAGCATTTCAACTTCTAAAAAAAAAAATTAACGAACAACCAAATAAAAACCTTATCACCAAAAAAAAAAATTTTTTTTTTTTGGTAATAAAGATCAAAACATACAGCATATAGAAACAAAAAGAGATCCACGTCAAAGGTTCTTCCTTTTTCCTAAATCAAATTAACGAATTCCTAATCCAAGATAAACGCATTAAACTTTCCACGGAAGACTAACCATTTAAACTAGGAAATGAATAACAGTTTCCCTAAAGTTGCAAACTTTGCCGCAATTTTAACACGAGAATCGCATCAAGCAGCCAATCAAGGCACCGGATAATACAAATAGGAACAAGTTAGAAATCAAATCAAGCAAATCACAACCGAAGATTTCGTTTATTCTATCATCCCAATAACCAAGGGGAAAATACGAGAGAGAAAGAGACCTTGTTGAAGAGTACGAGGGATGCCGATGCAACGAGGATTGATGCCATTGGATTTAAGAGAGGAAGAGTGATAGAGATATCCTATGCATGATTTTCCTTTGGGAGCAACTCCGCCTCTAGCTTCGCTTTGATTTTGATTTTTTCTAGCTTTCTCGCCTTCCCCTTGGCCTCCTCCTCCTCCTCCGCCTACTTCTTTACTCCTATCCATGTATGTTCGTTTTACTTTCCCTCCGTCTATTACTTTAGTTTGTATTGGAAAGGGCAAAAGAAGGACTGCTTTATCGGGCAAGACGACGTCGCTTAAGTCTTATAGAGAGACATCGGAGACCTGCTGTCCCCAAGCGTTAACACCTTGTTTGTTTTACAGGATAGCGCACAATAAAAATGGAATTCAATTGCTTAAATAAAAGTCCCCAAATATAACTGTTTAATAATTTGACCAAATTATAATTTATTTTAAAATCAAAAATAATTGAGTGTAACATTGGAAAGCCATTTTATCTATTTATAATATATAAATATGGGAATTGGGAGAATAATAGAATTTCCGATAGCGACCTTGATAAAATTTAGGATATCATAAAATAATCTTATTTATAGCCAATTAAAAAATTATATTTTATTAGTTGATTGGATATATTTATAAAAATTATTTTTTAAGTCAATCATGTGTTGACTGATTATATTCTCGATCACAAATGTTTTCATTAATTTGGGGAGTCTAGGGGAGAGTTATTCCATGTTGTGTAGCTCATAGTGTTATTTCGGCAGTCAAATCTCCCAATGACTGAAAAATAATATATATTTTTTTAAATAAATATGGTAGATAATTAAGCATTCCAAAATTTTAAATTTTATATTTATTAAATTTATTTTTTAATAAATATATTAAAATACCCGAATTTTTATTTTCGAAACTTTTCCAAAAAATTAAAATTTTAAATTTTATATTTATTAAATTTATTTTTTAATAAATATATTAAAATACCCGAATTTTTATTTTCGAAACTTTCGAATTTTTATTTAAATCAAAAATCAAAAATTTTGATCGTGTAGGCTGCAAATATAAATACAGTCTCAAATCGAGACTAAGTCTGCGAGTTGGGCCCAAGCCCAAAATATATTATTGAAACTTTCGATTTGAGAACACCTAAAATTTTTGAGAAATAATACAAAACTCCAGCAATTTAACATATTATGAATATATATAAATTGATTATCCTAAAATCAAATATTGTTACAATTAATATTTTTTATTATTATTGGGTAAATGGAGAAAAAGTTACGGAATCTAACTAAAATAATCAAAATAAATTGAACCGGACCCAAAAATCAAATTGATTTTTCGAAGGACCCAAAAATCAAATTGATTTTTCGAAAACCATGCGAATAATCTGAAAACCAAATGAAAAACCTACAAACCGAGCAAAAATCAAGCCAAATCATTAAATTAGACCAAATCGATTCGAATCGAATCGAAATGGTCAAGAAGCTCCAAGATTTTTTTTTCTTTCTTTCTTTTTCTTTTTCTCTTTCTTTTTTTTCTTTTCTTTTCTTTCTTCTTCTCCTTCCTTGCGCCAGCGCCAGCACGCGACCCCCCCACCCTCACCTCCTCTCGTTTTCCGACCACCTGAGCTCCTCGTCGTCGTCTCCTCACCACAGCGTTGATCTCGTCTCTCTCTCTGTTCGTTCTTCTGGTGTGAGTGGCTGGGGCAGGAGGAGTCGCGATCGGAAGCAGGAGGAGTCGCGATCGGAATCGCGTCGAGCTTTCCTGTTCCACGACTTTCTGGCGACGCCGGCTCCTCTCGCATCACGGAGAAACGCGGTCTCTCCTTCGTTCTTCCCTTCGTCTCCGGCGGCTGTTGCAGCGCAGGTGAGATGCGGTTCTCCTCCTTTGGATTGACGGCAATGGTGACAGTGGCTGTCGATGCCCGTTCCGGCTAGACCAGCCACGGGCTCAACAAACGGACGACAAAATCAAGCTCCCTACGACAGTTCGAGTCTAAGGGTGTGTGGATCGCAAAATTTTGGGTAAGAACGATTTTTCCGGCTACCGTGCACGGCTGACGGCGGCCGGCGGACCGGTGACCGGCCGGCGAGCCTCCGGTGAGGCTCCGAGGGACAGAATTTTCCTCTCTTCGCGAGGATTGTGCAATCGTCGCCCAAATTTCAATCGGTACTCTCTGAGACTCAATTCTCAATTTTTGTATAAATTCTGAATTAATTAATTAATGAATTTAATTGAGTAATTAAGTAAGTTAAATTGAATAATAAGAAATTAGGTTATTGTAAGTTAAATTGAATAATAAGAAATTAGGTTATTGGAATAGCTTAAATATATATAAAACACTTATAGTCTTTTGTAAATAAATTAGATCGATTAGTATCCGTTTGGTTAGTATGCGTTAATAGCAATGCCGAATATGATTAATATGATTAGTTAATTGGTTTAGGATTTTAGAATAACGTAATTGCAAATTAGTTTAGAACATTGTCAAATAAATTACATGAAGTATAATTATAATTTATAATTAGGAGGTTTGATATTGAGATAAGAAGTCCTAGCTAATATTTATGTAAGCTAATTTAGGAATTTTAATAAATATCGTTAGGAGGTTAATATAAATTGTTAATTAATTGATTTGGAATTATTAAGTGAATAGACGTGAGTGCGATGGATGGGGTGGTGAATTGATTGCCCGATGGATGCGCCGTGTGAATTGATTGATCGAATAATTGATAAATAAGGTTATGGCGGACGGAATGAATTGATTTGAATTGCCCGACGGATGGACTTTGATATTATATTGTTGAATTGGTGGTTTAGTCAAATTTAGAGGAGTTGCTCCGAAAATTTCGCATAGACCTTATGTAACGTCATTTTTCTATTGAATCGAGTCGTTGCTTAGAGTCGAGTCAGGCTGCCTCCAAAACCCGATTCGAGGCCATTAGAGTCCTAGAGTGGGCTTAGAATGGAAAATAAGGGAGAAGAAATGACTTACTTGAAGGAAAACAAAAAGATCAAAGTATTAAGGATTAAGGGACTTGCTTGCACTAAAATATAAAGTTGAGGTACTAAGTTGTACCATTTTGACACTTGAGGGGTACCATTTGGTAATTTTCCACATAAAAATCCATGATATTTTGGAGATGTTACCCAGTGAGTTCCATTCATTCATTTCTTTCATCCTTATTTCATTTTCATTTCTTCATCCTTATCTTCATCTTCTTCCTCTACTTTCCTCTTACACTTTCTTTTCTCCATCATGTTTAATATTTTCATGGGATTCAAGCATTAATTCAACTTCTATTTTATCCAAGTAGAATTTCTTGAAGCTCTATGTTATTCAACCTCTAATTTAGTTATATTGTTGATGTTTCATCAAAGTTCTTATGTATAGGAGAGGGGAGCTCAAAGGTAGAAGAAATAGGAAGCTTAAAAGAAGAGTTCAAGCTTTTTGGAGTGAAGGTGTGCTATCTCTTTTAGTTTAATTAATTTCCTTGCATGAGAATTTATGCGTTGTGTTGAAAATGAGAAGATATGTTGCTTAATGTTGAGTAAGATGACTGAAAATGGTGAAAAAGCATGAGATGAAATGAATAAATGAAGTAGATATTGTGAGTAGAGTATCGTATCCACAGGGATTGTATACCAGGTACCAAAATTATGTTATCTTGTTATTATTTAAACGATAAATGAGGAAATTGTTTATAGAAATTAAATTCAACAAGTAAAAATAAGAAGTTAAGCTACATGGGTTTTTGAATCATTCAAATCGGAGTTGTAAATTGAGAGATATAACCAAAAGAGTACAGACTGCGCAGGTTGAAAAACACGTCGCGCGCTCGCGAATTTCATTTGCGCGCTCGCGACTTGGCCTGTAAACTCACTGACTCTCTTTTGGTGCTTTTTGGTGCTTTGCGCGCTCGCGACTTATGTTTTTATGCTCTTTTGACTTTATTTTCAATGCAATTGTATTCCTTTGCTCAACTTATATGCCTCCAATCATTTTAAAACAAAAAGACAACATTAGAACATGCATCAAAACAACATTAGAAACATGCATTCAAAACCAACATGCAAGCATGCAAATGATGTGAAAACAACATGCAAGCATGCAAATGATGTGAAATGAGGTAAACACAACTTGTAATTGTATTCTATGCAATTGTGAAATGATATGAAATGGTGTATGAAGGTATGAATTCTATGCGCTTGTATTCCTTTTCTCAACTTGTATGTCTTCAACCATTTTAAAGCAAAAAGACAACATGAACACATGTATAAACACAAAATGAAAGCATGCAAATGGTGTGAAACTAACATGACACAAGTTGCCAGCTTGGCGAGACTATCAGCATACAGGTAAGCACTAAATTTTATGAAATGATGAAGCAGTTAATTTTTATGACACAAGCATGTGAAAACTAACATGACACAAGCTTTATGACACAGTTACTATGCTTTTGTTTTATCTATTGTCATTTCCATTAATATGCTCCATTTGAGGTTAGGTTAGAAACCACGTAAATAAGGCATTTGTCACGACATAGAATAGCAGGATCTATCGCCCCATACAGTTTGGTTCTCCGGCTACAGGGCCGTTTGAGTGATATGATTATTATAGGCCATACAGCCAAGCATACAGTTTCATCCAGTTTCATCCAGTTTCATACAGTTTTTCTTATCACTTCGGTTTCACTATAACCTTATGGAGCTATACAGTTATGTGGACTACAAATTGCATAATCATACAGTATAATGAGCAGCAAGTATGGATAATGAAAGTATCATGATATGTGTGCTTACATTCCATATGTGAGTACATGTTTATTGCTACATATGTGTAACATCCTTTCCCGGTCCACCCGTTAACTCAAATGAACCGAGCTGAGACGCTACAATCTGGTTGAACCTATGTCCTTTCATGCTAATGAACATCAGGTAAGATCATGAAAGTATATTTATTGATGATGTGACTATGATGTGACTAAAAGTGCATAAGTCATACAGCATAATGAATAGCAAGTAAGACAACGGAAATATACTATTATGTATTCTTACATGTTTATTGATTTCATTCATACAACACAATGAACAGCAGGTAAGATCATGATAGTATCATAATGTGTGATTAATGTTTATTGATCTCATCCAACAACACAATAACAGCAGTTAAGATCATGCTAGTATCCAAAATGTGTGATTACAGGTTTTCATGTAAAGGAGTTTATGAGATTAATTAGAAAACTAAATTATTGATGTTTTATGAATAGAAGTTTTATTCGTTCTATTAAAGAGACATTTATTGTTGAAATATTACTGATTCTACGATGGATAAAATGCTTTATGAAATTTTGTATTTTAAAGTTGTTTTCCATCCACACTTTATTAA